CGAGGTGAGAACAGAAAGTGGGAAAGTGCAGTCGTCACTGCGATGTGATGCCTGTGTGGTGGTGCATGGCAAAGTTGTGCAGCAGCCTCAACACGGTTGGTTGGTTGGTTGGTTGGTTGCGTCTGCATCACTACGCCTTTAGTGGTGAGGCGAAGAGTGTTTTGTGTGAAGTGGAATTGGTGTGTGGGTGGTGTGTGGCGTCATTATGACGCCTCTTTTACGTGTAAGTCACAGACAGGAATGCTGCTGTTGTGGTAGTGGTGGCTGAGGCAGAGACAATGCAACCGCCACCTTAGGACAAGGAAAAGGTATGTTTTCACCCAATTCAGGAAACGGTAAAATTTAAATGCACTAAATCACTTTCCTTTTACTCAATATGTTGGTATTGACTGCTGTAGCATGGTAGTAATAATACCCAATTTTCGGTTGGGTTCACGGCTTACCAGAAAATCTTCCTACGAACAAATGGAAACGCTAGTTTTATTGATCGCGTGAACCACTCTGAAAATTCTGCTTTGCTTAAGCCACTTTCTCTGTGTACAAGCAGTGATTTTTCTTAGCAGAAAGCGAACTTACAGAATTCCTGATGCCCGCAAAATGCTGACATCCATTCGTGTTTTAAAGGTATTCCATTTTTTAGACCCGTCAGTAATGCATTTACCTTAAATTAATTCGTGTGTTAATGGCTTCACTACTTAATCGTAAATTTGTAGCCATTCTTTTCGCTTCTTCAGTATTCTAAATTTTTGACCATCCTTTGTAAATTGATTCAAGGCATTGAATCGCAGAGTCCGTTCGGTTAGATCGGCTAGTGCCCCTCAATATTCCAGCGAGCAACTACTAAACCGACCTCTTCTAGTTGGCCACACTTTATGGCTTTCCGATTGAGTTTTACAGTAGTCGCCTCCGATTTCGTCGGCAGTTTGAGAATGGTAGCTTTGCAAACGAGCTACTGTGAGTTGCTGAACAATCGGAATCGCATTTCCAAAGGGTTAAACTAGTGTTGACTTCATCCAATCCCCTAGGCCCGTAAACACTGATTATTAATGGACAACAAATAGGGTTCACTGATTATGGAGCAGCAGTAAGGAAGCACTTGGTGGCTCACTAAACGTTGCGTTGCTTTGTTTGTTTGACTGCCTCTTACGACTCTGATCACCCAGGAGCCGACATTGCCCTGGTCGGGTAGACTACCCTCAGGGATACGCTAAAAGCCTCAGGTGTTATGCCTTATCTTGCCATTAGATAAGTCTCGTGAAGCTGCGGTGATTTGAATACTTTGTTCGAATCATTTGCACAGTCCAATCGGTTACGCTGGGTGGTTGAATCCCTGTTCCGTGCCAAAAGCCCTAATTTCATTCTATTTGTAAAACCTATAAATTCTGCAATAGTGTAAAGTCGTCTTCCTTCTTCTCGGAAGTCTTTGAACACCACAGCGCAGTAAAGTAGCACACATTCCGTTTACTTTCTCTCCCTTTAGACTGCCTTGAGACACATATGCCGTTCTGAGAAAACAAAAGGTAGAAATAAAAACATATCTTCAAGGGGAAAAGGAAAAGATTTGACTTTGGCCTGGCCTGGAGACTAGCCAGCGCAATCTAAAGCAGAAAACTAGCAAAGCGGCTGCCAGAACTACAGATAATCACATAAACAAGGTATTACAATTACTTCTCAACCTACTCTCCAAATTCTTCACCTCATCCATCATAGGAGGAGGGTTGCTCGGAAAAGATTTATTTGGCATAGCTAAAGGAACACAAGCTGAAAGGAAAGTGAGTACAGGTAGGGGCGCGTTCAAAACCGCCACGGAAACAGATTTTCACGATTCACTAGTCTGTCATTCAAGTTGACTGCCAGCCTCTTCCCTACAAAGGACATTTCAAACAATTGCCATCCACTACACAGCCTCCTTCTTTCTTGATCGCCAACCTCTATTGCTAGTCTTTGGATTTTCTTCTAGGCTACAGGGGGCTTTCTTCCCTCTGTCAAAGCGCAAGTATCACCTCATAATCTACTGAGGTTTGCCGGTGTAGGGACGAAGCTTGTTAAGGTGGACTGCTATTAACAGGGTACGAAGCTTCATGTTACGGATCAGATAGTTCACCGATGACATCATCCTCATTATGCGATAGCGAAACTCCCAATGGAGAGGGAAACAATTTTCAATGCGTTCCTGGAAAGGCTAATCATCTTGTATACTCGGACCAAGTCTCCTCCTTCGTAACCATTGGCTCTGACCTGACTGTCGTAGAACGTGTTCTGTCCAACATCTGTCGTTGTGCAGCATTAAACAATTTCTATAGGCCTTTTTTGTAATCACAAGACATATTCGAGAGTATTATGTATCAACATGTCCTTGCTGGGAAGGGCGATTTCGAAGAGAACTCTCATTTTACTACTTGCGGACATCATGAAAGCTGAAACACCAGTCGAGACATGAGCTGTAGCTCGGTACTCGAAAAGAACGCTTCGGAGGTGCAGATCGCAGCCCTCAGATCGTCCACCTTTGGTAGAAGCCTTCAAGAATTCTAAAAATGTGCGGAGTAGTGCGCGTTTTACAATCCTCAAAGGTTTCCTACAGTTCTGTAAAAATCCTGCTTTCAAAATGGGGCCTTGATCACTATGCATCACTTGGGACACGCTATGTTGACAGGGTAAGCGATTAGAAAAAAAATTATCAAATTGTCGACTATAACCACATGTAACGACTTCCTCTCATGGTCGTTGGAAGTAAGCCAGTGATGCCTATGCCTACTCTCGATCTCCTTGTAATCTGATAAGTATGGAGAGCAAGGGAACTATCGCAGTGTGATGGGTTCGTTTGAAGTTGATGCACAAGGCACAAACTCAACAAAAAATGGGCCGCTAATATCTTCCTTTTGTAGATTCGACCATCCTCTTTTCACCTACGTGCCCAACTTGAAAATGTAGTCTGCAAGGCTTTTTGAACTGCTGCATTGCTTTAACATTTGATAACCCCTTCTTTTGGAGCCATATTTTCCTAGTTCTGCCAAAGTTGTTTAACTGCTTTGTTTAATGTGTACATTTCCTCTGCTGTGGACTTCTCTAGTGGTGGGTAGTGATACCGTTATCTGCGATCACGGATGAGGGTCAGCTTGACAGTATCCGCATTGCTTTTAGAGCTTCCCTCCCTATACTGTACCATGAAGTTAAAGTACCATAGATCTTCATGCCAACTTTATATTGAACACTTGATCTCCTTCACTACCCCTTAGTTAGTGACTACTGTATAAATGGCAACGAGTTCCCATTCCATTGCACCCTTCTGTGCCTCTTTTTTTCTAGTTTAGACTCGAATTGACATGGGCGGTGGCACGATCTCGCCCGTCTTTGTGGTTTAAAGAAAAATTCCGACTACCATTGCTTTGCCTGAGTTCAAGTCCAGCCCAAAATAGGGTGGCATTAGCCTCAAACTTGGGTAGAGTGAGTATCAGTGCCGCATACTGGGTGCGTTTCAGCTCCTTGAATGTCGACTACATCCTTATTTTCTTGTTCGGTCTTCTGTGACTCACATTCGTCGACCAATATTGCCCCAAAAAGGGACTGAGCTCCGGGGAAAGCAGCACTTCTGTTCAAGGTTAGCATTTTATGACCAAGATCTCTTCGAAGGTAAGAATGCCTCCCATTTAGGTGTAGTTGTTCGGGAAAGGTCAGCGCAGTGCGATATGCATGAGGTATTGGGAGATTGCAGAGCCCAAACGGCACTGTCTGGATCTCATAAAGCCAATCTGGTATAATTAAAGCCGTTTCCCCACTAGCGTCTCCTGCTATCTATACTTGCCACTATCCAGATTTCAAAACCAATGTGAAAGATCACTTAACATCGTGAAGAGAATTCAATGAGCCCTCACTGTGAGGTAAAGGGAGCACTTCCCTCTTTGCCACTGCATTGGACCTCCTATAATCGACATGCATACGTAGACTACCTAGAGGGCCTCATGAAGTCATTACGAAGTATCTCATCAGTCAGATGAAGCACTTCCTCCTTATGGGGAATCAGATGCGTTTACGAGGTCGCCAAATCGGCTTGGCCTCACCTTCATCAACTGTGTGTTTGACAATCTTCGTCCACCGCAGTTTCGTCCTATTTCATAGGAACAAGTCTGAATTTCTGCAGACCGTGGAATACACTTCTTTGCCTTCATTGTCCGGTGTCTATTTTAGTTAAGCGCCGAATTTGCTTGGAGGTGACCACAGCTGCGAAGAGAGATGTTCAAGTGTTATTTTCACCTCGCCCAGCAATGAAAAGTAATGCTACCTCTCTTTGGCGAAGTAGATGACCTCTTGAGTCTGGGGTAAGAGGCAGAAACCTAGTACCGCGTCATAGACGAGCTCCGGACATAAGCCGGACATAAGCTATCTCTATTAATTGTGACCCACATGGAAGCTTTCCTTTTATAAAACTTACCTCCTGCGTAGCGAAACCTTATAGTCTGAGAGAAGAATCGTATCACTACATAAAATTGCTCCCTAGCTTGCCCACTGCTCTCATGAATGCATGAGCTCCGTGAGACAGCAAGCACGAGAAGGATAAATAGCGTCCATTGGCTCGCGATGGGAATTGTAAAGCAGAGACTGTAGAGGCAAAGAAACCGAGGTTAACTCTTGTGAACATAATTTAGTCTTCAAAGTCCATGTTGGCATTGGAAGATAAGATGTCGGCCGGTGTTGCCATCACTGTGGTATTCTCTATACTATCTTACCTGTCCTTTACTTCAGTTTGCACAATTGAAAAGTAGTTCTAGGGATATTTACTAGGCAGCTCCAGAAGGTAAAGATCAAGAAGACGAACTGGGCACTAGAGCGCTCGAGACTTCCTCTAAGCAGAAGGATGAATCAAACTGAACGGAATGCATCGATTCGACTCCACTCGCACAAAGGTAAGGCGAATACCGTGGCCGCTTGGCAACAGGTGGTCGCATAAATACTATGGCTAGGAGTACCCTCTTTATTTTATGAACGGTTCTCAACACCTCACCTCAAAATTTGAATTGTATATTCTTCTGTTCCCAGCAAGGAACGACTAAAATGATCTATGTGTCTTACTGGTGCATTATCAAAGCAAAGGGGATTATGAACCCATCTGCTTCGTAAGTCTGAGAGGCCTTTGAGTTCATGGAACCTAACTAGTGTTTATAATGCTTTGTTTATGTAATTACCTGACTTTTTTAGTCATTTTTAAGATTTATCCGGTCCTTGTACCCTTGGGCTGGCCTTCGGGCCATCTTCGGACCTAGTTGCTTCGTCCTTACTGCCTTCCTCCATCCGGTGGGAATTCTCAAAACGCTAAAGTACTTTTACTTCTCCATTTATCTATAGACAAAATAACGTGAGCACTAAAACCGCATTCCCTTCATAAAAACTTCCCTATGACTTAATTTTTTAGATTAAAAATTAAGGGTATATTTCTAATAGTGCTTGTAAAAAATGAACATAAAAATTTAAAAATGTTATTGTTTATTACTTTAAATGATCGGAGTCACACTTGAAGTCCTTATGTGAAAATTAATATTTTGTTTTAATGCATGCGTGAATTGTTAAGGTCGCGCTGCGCGTGGTCGCACCTTGGTTCCGTCTCGAGTGGGTTGTTCATTTTGGTGATGCTTCGTGCCTTTACAGATAAACTCGTCCGTACCACGGAGCCTACTTTGAATGCAACTGGCAATTAGCAACTCGATTTAAGCGACAGGCGGGTTAATAGACCAGGAAATAATGTTGAATAACAACCTACCATACATTTACTAAAATATCATATAGTTGATTTACAGATCGCTGATGTTCTACTTATTGCCTTCGACATTCGATAAACCTCATTTCGCTAACTCTCGCCTACGTCCATACATCCTTTGCCGTAATTGCTGTCAGGAAGATTGTGGGAGATACTGTTTCGTAAATTTTCAGCTTATTTTTATTACTTGGGTCTTTTGATTACCTCGCTTGCTCTGTGACACTATAGCAAGGCCGTTTTGATTGTTAAAAGGAGGCTCATGGTGCCATCATCACCGTTATATTGTGCTTTTCCTTTTGTGTCGGCAAAGGAGGAACATTTGCTTCATGCAGTCGATAATTAATATATGTAAATACTAGGATGTTCCGAGGTCATCTGTGCTAAAATTGCAATTTCTAAACTGCCCCTTCGATAACCTCTTTGTTGTAAAGGCTTCGCAACTAATTGAGGGAGATTGTAGTAGTTACTCCAACATCACAATACGGCGTTAATATGCCTTAACGGCTGGCGCTTTGCTTTTTCTTGCAGTTTGAAGGTCATAAATGATACACTGGTGGTCACTATCTGGAAGTTGTGAGAAGTCGCTACGTAGGACTAAATCCGTCTTTAGGAAAACTCGACTGCGTAAAATTAACACTAGGTCACCTAGGGTTGGTAGCTCGAATATGTACATTGAGGTGAAATTTGCTCTAGAAGCGCTGTTGTATGTGATTCCCAGGCCTACTTGTTCTTCTGATAAAATATTTGAGGATTAGTGGACATATCAAATCTCCTGACTTCTGCAATGTTGGTGTACGAATTAAGTCACCGTATAGCACTATGCGTCTTGTTAAACTAACGTAGGTGCAGTATATGAAGTATGGTGCTACTAGCGTGGAGATCCATCTGAGGGCTTATATCATGGTTTTGCGTCTGTCTCACATAACGGAATTCCAACCTGCGGGCGCAGGTCTCCACATAATTATGGTAAGTTCCGCTGAACTCTTTTGTAAAATGCTTGTGAAGTGCATTGTCGTTTGCACCATTTAGCCGGCTGTAACTCTAGTTTGAAAGTCACATTTTGAATCAACTTGAACAACCTTCCGCAAGGCTATGGTCAGGTGCTTTCAACTAGTGTCTGCTATAGAGATTTTACATTCCATGTCCTCCGGGAGTCGGAATGAGCTAAAGGTGTATGAACTGCCGTACTACCAAATGCGAAGAGGTCAAGAGACCATCAGCGTGGCTGAAATCACGATACGCTGACAATAAGGTGCTCTTGTAGTTCATTGCATTGTTAAAGTACAAAATCAGTACATAGACGATTAGGTCGGTTGCTTTTGGCTGGACGATATCGCATTTATTATTGTGGTTACTTGGTAATTATTCTGGGTTGCCTTGAATGCGTCATTCTAGATCTCATATTTGTTTCCATTCTATGTAAGCCTCGAGCAGTAGCGGCATTTCAGGGACTTGTTGGAAATGCTAGATAAACATAATTCTTCGGGGCACCGAGCTTAGCTCAGGCAAAATTCGTAGGATTCTGTATGCGAAAACATTAAAGTGTGTCGGAAATGTAGCAACTAATTCCTCTGCCCCAAGGATGCCTCCCTCATGGGCGTAGTGCTTGGTAAACATCGAAGTACCCAGATTCGTCCATAAATGGTGTTGGCCGTTACGCTCCTGAACGAAAACACAGGAAAGTCAACAAAAGCTCTCATCTCATTTAGACATGATTTTATTCCCATATTTTTTTTTCAGAGATTGAATCACATTGAAGCGATTTGTAATTTGGTATGTGCAGTAGTCCATCCTCTACTCTTCCATTTTTCTATAAATTGCTGGAGAAGAATTTATTAGTTTTCGTTTTCTTGCCCCCTTTTTAGATTCTTTCGGGAAATGCAGGCGTCATTTGCAGCAGACCCTTACCTGCTTCCAGGCTCAGCCATGTTTTGTCAAACAATATCCCATTTCCGTTATATACAAATTCTTTAATATGCAAAGTTTTGAAGACATTTCCAATTAAAAAGGCCAAGGAACGTTGTCCTCTCTGAGGCGATAAGTCAGCTAATTTCTGAAGCGATCGAAAGTATCAGGGGAAGCCCATTTGTGGTTTTGAGGTGCCTAATTTGAGTGTAATTTGAGGTACTCTGTTGGTAAGGTGTGCTCCCATCAGTGTGTATTTTCTTTAAGCTGTGGCAGTCATCAAGGTGATAGAAATAAGTTTGAAAAGTGGGCACTTAGGTGTATAAGTGTATCGATGTAGATACTCATCGGGACTGCGAACTTTCCCACACACTAAACTTTGTGCCACTGTCAGGATTGTTAGTCTCACAAAGCTAGGTATGACCTTGCCACCGACTTCACTGGCTAAGTTTAAGGGTCATTCAAAGGTGATCGTGAGGATTCCAGAACTGTACTAATTGTCTAAAGTATGTTCTTTTCCTTAAACAGTTCGCCATGACCTGAGAACAAATGCTGTTTTGGAGTTTTAGGAAATAAGGGCCGAGTGAAAGCAAATCAGATCCTAAAGAAATCATGACAAGCAACTATCCGAAAGCAAGCAAGCATCCTAAAGTTGACCTTAAGCAAATTTTATTGGCTTTACACTATCAAAGTGGGAACGACTCACCTTGCTGTGATTACCGCTGTCAGCGGCTCCACTTATCAGTCTGATTGTAAGGAAATGTTCCAAGGTAAGAAGTGTAAGTGCTGCGACACCGCATGGTCTAGTAGAGTTCCACTTTGATTGTCACTAAATTTGGAAATCAAAATATGCTTATCAATGGCAGAACACCGACATCAGATAACGTATCAGCAATGCGGACCAAAACCCACTCTCCCAGCGCCACAGTGCACTTTGCAGCTAATGGTAGTAATTTGTCTCGCCATGAGAACAAGGTTTATTGTCTATCAGGTGAAGCACGCACACAAGAAACAATAGGCGAAATCCCGCGGTGCCCTGCACACACACACACTTGGTACGGTAATCGTTAACCAATAGGCCCAAACCGTGTGCGCACAGAGCTGCCAGCCAATGACTTTGCGATCAGCTGACAATGTTGCTTGCATGTCCGCACGGCATGCGTGGACGCACGCACGCGCACACAGTATTCGCCCTGTGGCGATTCGACGCCAGATCGTCACTGCTATTCGACGGGCGTTTGGAGGTTGGGTTTCTGTTTGGTCTGGTATTTGTAGTTCCCTTGCCGTCCCACCAACCGGTCTCGTCTCAACACCTCACCGTGATTGTTGCCTTCGCTTGAGGACGGTATGCTTTTTTGTGAAAGTACCCTTACGCATTCATCTCATGCATGAAAAACATGAATCTCTGAAAAGCTTTGTGGTTAACATTCTTTTGTGCAGGGGTTTATAACCAATGTATAGATTGTTCGTTCCACGGAACGTGCCCATTTTGATAAAATGCCGGAAGATATTGCTAAATTACCTCATCATTTGTGTGGTCGAGTGGCGGCTTATTTTTAAAGGCTCACTGTGATCAGTTCTTGGGCACTGTTTAAAAGCTCGCCTTTTCGCATTAGATTTTCCTTGTCAGTTCTAACTTTCGGAAACACTCTCAGATAGGAGTGCAATATTGCACTCTAACTCGTTTGGGTTCAGTGGGCTACATGGTATTTTGTGATACTTAAAACTATTTTCGTAGCCATGTCTTTCTTCGCACCAGCTGCAACTGCAAATTAAATTCATCTGATAATTTAGCAACTACTCCTCGCTTTTTCCTTTGCTACACCTGTATCAATAATCTTACGATTCACTAAAAAACTTCCAGCCGCACTATCTTGGTGCCTAATGCAGTTTTTATCCCTAAAGCCGTCATGGAAGACGGGTGGTGGCGACTTGAATATCCACATGTGACCGGTCCCCTAATCTGAGCCATTTGGCAGTACGTGTGTTGGAAAATTCACGTCAATCAAACCAATGCGGTTCCACTTTCCCCATTCGTTGGCGTATATAAATCACGGAAGACACTTGGAGGAATCTTAATTGTGCACAGTCACGCAAACCAGCCCTAGAAGACTTCGTATCTTTTTTCATCCAATTTGTTTTTCGTACGTTCACTCATTCATCCGTTGTACACTGCCTTCTTGGAGTGGTTGATAAATTGGATATCCTTGGCGGTCGGACCAGTCAAAGATTGCGAATTGAGCTTCCGCCCTATGACATGAAATACGCATGGAATGGGTCATTTTCGGTTGTTATGCGATGGAGTTGAAGCAGAAAAACTTGATGCTTTTGGGAGTGGCTTCCATGCATTGGAATGACGTAGATGGAAGTGAGTCGAGGTGGTCGTAACTTGCGTCGTTAATTTATGTAACACTTATGCTGTTCTGAGTGTCCTTAATGCCTTCCTTCAAATGCTTACGACAGGTTCAAAATCGTCGTCTTCGTGGCATTCAGGCGTATGGATCTTTGGCTAGGCGAAGCACTTCATTTTCCTGAGATCCGCTCTATCAAAGCTTGCTTGGATGCGCATGAACAGTCCAACTTGTCTTACACACACAAGCTTATTATTACACAACCAGTGCCACTTCGATGCTAGCCTTATTAATCCACCCTCACTTTGCGTGACAAAAAAGTACTGATGTGAATAAACTCGTTATTAACAATGAATGCATCCCCGTGCAGTTGAATTCCTGACGTCTTCATGCACGAAAGCCTACACAAACACTTCTTCTCCACTCAAGTGTCACACGTCGAGAAGCAAGGATGCAAGTCTTCGTGTGTCCGAGGTCGGTGTACGCTGATGCCAAGTTTAGGGCAGAATTGTGTGTTCTGTGGCAAGCCTTTCATCAAGTGGGAGGATACGCAATCACTGTTGGACTTATGAAGTTGGATCGTTTCGATGCTTCCCTGGGGTCCTTTTATACCAGACGATGAGTTGGCACAGCCTGCTTTAAAAAGGCAAACTTGATTCCCAGCCAGATGAATGCTGATTGACTGCTTCATGGTTGTTGTGATGCAGAACCCATCCCATTGTTTGAGTGACTCCCACTCTCTTTTGCTGAAGCTTCCGTTTGAAATGTAGCATTCTTTTTAAGTACCAACAAGTCTATGCTCTGCTTGCCGTCCTCTGAAAAATCGAACCTGCATAGCTGCTATTTTTGGTCCCATATGGAAACCGGAGACCTTTCACTGACCAACTCACCTCATGATTTTTGTGTCTGCGTATAAGTTGGGCTGGGCGCAACAAATGAATTGGCACTGGACAATCACGTAAGGGCTGAATACTGCGGCGCCAAGATCACGAGGGATGGAGTAGTGCAGGTTACTTCGAATTTGTTGGTGGAGTGCATTCCTTGACGCAGAGAATGTTCAACTTCCTAGGGAGCAATTTTCTTTTGTTTAGCGAGTAATTCCAACTGGTAGCGGTGTGCACGCATATTGTGGCTCCACGCCAAGTGAAAGTCGGCTCAAATCACCTCGTCTGTACTTTTCTCAGGTGAATACTGGAAAAAGGTATATTAACTTTTGACGGTGCTCTAAGTCAAAGCTGTAGCCTCCATAAAGCTTTGAAGATTTTGGAAAAAAATAAGGATGGAATTTTACCTCGGTTGCGCCAATCGATGATGTAAGATAATCTCTTGTCGGTAATAAAGACGTATTTCGGCCGACAGTGTTGTGTACGTTGTTGGAGAGAATGCGGCCTGGCATTGAGCTGACCGAACCCCTGAGAGCAAAAACTATGTTACTGCCCTTGGTCGAATCTTTGTCCATCCTTCACCTTCAGAGGGAGTGATACTAAGCCCCGTTGATGATCTCGTTTATCAAGCGTCTCAGGCTACGAATTAATTTGAGCAGTTTTGCCAACTTAGTGTCCATTTACAGCTTACACTGAGGCCTAAAGTGCTTAGAACAGCGATAACACCAATTGTCAATGGGCAAACAAACAGAATCGGGGTTTTAAATGTTGCTGTTTCCCTCCCAGCACATTTTTCTGCTTCGGATAACTTGATGCAGTAGCAATGGGACTACTCTGGCCCTTTCATAAAATTTGAGTTATCCTTAGTTGAGTTCAAATTTGCATGTTTGAACGTTTCCAGTAGCTATTATAAAAGCCTACAGCTCCTTCAGCTCTACGAGGAAGGAATGATTACATTTGGGTAAGTGCTTGACTAGTTTGGCAATGAAATACAGTTCTCCCATCATCATCATCATATAATCAACTTCGAGTAATCAGGGATCTCGTTTCTTTGGCATGGTTGTCTAGGTAGCTTCGAAGATGCTCAAACAAATGCTAAAGTTACGTGACCTCATCGTTCTGATGATCGTGGTCTGCGTGTCAGCGAACTCGGACGGCGGTCTGAATCGAACACGGCGACAGGCCTCGGCCATGTTTACCATAGGTGAGCGATACTACTTTTGAAAAGTGATTCTCTCCCCAAACGAACTGATCAACTCTGATTCCGTTATAAACACTAATGCCTTTCGGATAAAGCGATTGATATTGATGTGGATGACTTCTTAATGGCTGTACAAATGTGGGGAGGATGGTGCGGCTGTTGAAATGCGTCTTGACCAAAGCCAAAGGTGTAAGTAAGGAGCGATGTGGAGATGGCGTAATCTGTTTTGCCACAAATTTACAAACTTTTGGAGACAGAAACCCTCAAAGTGCCCTATCAGGCTACTGTCACTACATGTGGTATTGAAAATGAAATGAAGTGAGAATGCGTACATATCCAAGTTTATACTCACCACATCTGGTCATGCATGGCTGGAGTGAAATTGCATTCACTCTTCCACTTGCAACGCAACCCCTCACGGTAAGTAAGTTGTTTTTCTTTTGAAAGAGATAACTTTCTTTGCCCAAAAGCCCGCATTGAGTGCAGTATTGGCGATTCCAGAGTCAGAATTAACCATCTTTCAACTCTACTTACTCTATTTCCCCTTTAGCTAGAATTTACATGTATAGTTAGTCGGCCTAGATCTCTGAAGCTACTCCTAGATAAGCCACCTACACGAGCTGTGTCGAAATGGGAACGCTGCTTGCGTGTTAGAAGGGTTGACGACGGTTGAAGTTCCATTCCCACGGCACGCTTTGCAGATAAGCCGAAATGCGACTGCTACGTCTTACCCGCGCCTTTTTATCTCTCTCCACCCTTTTAAAGGAGCCGTCCTTGACTCGCTGGACCATGGAACGGAACAGGCCATACTTAGCGGCCTTCAGACTGTGAAGATGATCTACTCCAAGGACGATAGCCGTGGTCAGTCGCCCATTAAACCGACAGTCATCTGGATTCCCAAGGAAAAGTTCCTTACCGCAACTAATGATGGTAGGCATTGTCCCAGCCTTCCAAGTACTTGAAAATTTCTCGTCCTCCCTCGCATTTTGTGTGCAACCAAACCTTCCTCGAAATTAAATTTTATTTTGACCATAACATCACCCAATTCATCCACTTGAGAATTACCCTATAGGCATAAAAATTTTGCGAACTGAAGCATTTGTTACGGTGTTATAGCTTGTCGTTATCATCCAAAGGGATTTTCTCCTCACTTTGTCGTTTGGTAGTCTGCGAATTACTCAAGACGGGAGTAGTGGCCTTTGTGTCGCCGCCCGATCCACTGATCCGTCAGTCAGTGCGGATGGTCTCCAAACAATTTCACATCCCCATAATCGAGACGCATTGGGACACCGACCGCTCCAATAGCCGATTCGCCATCAACATCCATCCTTCGCATGACGCTTTCGGGGAAGCCATCTTCGAATACCTCTCCAGTTACTCCAAATGGAATCACGTGGTACTTGTTTTGGCTGACTATGGAAGTAGGTCGTCTGTCCCTATCAAATTATCCGTGCTTAGACTGGCCTGCGACTGTCGATGAGGTATTTTTTGGGTTGGGAACGTTGTTATAGTCAAAAGAAATTAAAAATGTGCTTTCATTAGAAGTTGGCTGATTTGCATCCGTGCGAATCGTAGCCTCAATGAGTAGTAGAATGCCACTCATCACTTCCACGTGGGCATTTTGAGTAGTTTTAAGTCTGATTCACCTTGTCTGAGGGTTGCCTACCTCGTTCGAAATTGTTGCATAAAACGTGATATAGTCCTTTGCAGGCTCTTGACCATTTCTTCCAGAAAAGTGCGTTAATTAATGGGTCTTAGCAGTTAGCTTGGTAGTCATGATCACATTTGCATAAAAAAACTGCTAAGACAACTTAGTTTGATGGCTGAATGGGTCATGATGAAGTTCTGGTTTCGACTCTCTTCGAACTCCCAGTTGATGAATCAACAAAGGCAGAAGTGTAGACCCTTGGAGCCACCATGGACAGGCAACCAATCTTGAGTCACGAGGTCGGATTGGTCATTCAGACCTGTCACGGCTCATTAACCTTGGATTTGAAGATACTGTTGCCTCACTTAGCATGCAGCTAACACGTTCGCAACTAATCAGGATAGAGCAAGCAAGAGACCACTTCTCGTCATCCAAAAACTGATCAGTAACGTTTTCATGAGGCTGTAGTCTTCTCCAGCCCACCTCATTCGGATTTCACGCTACAAGAAATGCAATGAAGCTAATAGGCTTGTTTATGGATTTGTTGATAAGACCAGAAGTAGATTCCATAGATCGTCACATACTTAATTTGCCTTTCGTTTGTGGATAAGAGTTTATTGCTGTCAAAGCATTAGCTTAGTGGAAGCAAAGATCCTGCTCAAGAGTCGCCGTCTTGAAAGGCAATCTGCTGAATAGCAAGACTCGTTCTCCTCACACTGACGTTCTTTCAGCCTAATGAGTGAAGAGTCGGACAGGGAATCTTTCGCAAAGTTTGGTGTTTTCCATAATTTGACAGGAGAGGAATGTCATTTTGTCTATAAGACATCAAACACACCCACTGATCGGTCCATTTTCTCACCTAAATCGTTTCGATATTTTAATTTGCGCTTCCCCTTTTCTGTCTCGTTTATGCAAAGCCTTTGGTGCCGAATATGGTGTGCTCTCCGCTCTATCTCTCACGCACACGCAAACACGCAAGGTCTACTTTTGTCGTCTATTTTCATGGTTTCTGAAATCTGAAAACTAAAAGCGGACAATCAGGCGTATGTGCTTGCGCGCACTCTCGCGTGGGCAGGCGTTAGCAAGTGGCAGCGCATCTCCGAGGCAGTGAAATGCGCACGGATTCATCTGATAACGCAGCAGCAGCAGCAGCAGCAGTGGCAGTAGCAGCGGTTATGATCGTTTTACTAGGCTACGAGTTCAACATAACATGTATAAAATCAGCCCTTTCCGCATCTCTCACCGACGCCACGCATCTCAATTGCTTCGGCACAACTTCAAACTTGGGTAATTTATTCCTGCGTACCAATCACTTTCCCGACACCCTGAACCCACTCTAGACCGTACTGTTGGGAATTCTAAGAGAACAAAACCTGTCTTGGGCCAGACCGAGTTCAGTAATAAATCTTACGACGGTAACCGTACACAAGTTTGTCGCCTTTTTTTCATTTATCATCCACGTTTACACTTGGCCAGCTTGAGCCGAAGTTGCGCTCAAGATAAAGAGCCTTCAAATAATTTGTTTACACCACCCAAATGTGTCCGGAGGGTTGAAGAGATTTGCCCAAGGATAATTTATGGGTTAGAGTAGCTGGGATGATTGGAAGTTGCTGGTAGCTATCTCTTGGTAAAATTCGGGTATTTTGGACAAAAAAGCTCCAAGAATCTGGTCTTTTAACTTGAAAACTGTCAATCACAAAACTGTAACTGTCTATTTGCCAGTAGAATTAATGTCTTATTGGTAGTCAAATTGTGAACCTTCACGTAAACCTGTAAAATGTGGCAGTCAAAGTAAATTGCATCCTCCAATCACCTTCTTTTGATGAATCATAATGTTGGAGAAGAGGGATAGTTTTCGCTCTGTGACAGGACCAGGACCCAAAACTTGCATTTGTAGTGAGGCAAGAACTAATCATTTACGAATGCTTTCCATCTTCAAAGCAGTGAGTGGATAGATTCGCCTACTTTGTATTCCCTTAGGTCGTGGAGAGTACGTGTGTTTTTCAATTCGCCAGTTGCAAAACAAACTCGGGTGATTCACACTCAGAGAAGGGTAAACTTCAAACTTTGGCAGATGTTTCTGACACGCTCATCAGTTCATTTGTGCCCAGGCGTTCATGTTGCTCTAAATAGAGGAGCATTTTGTGTTTGACTTCGCAGACATAGTAAAGCACACGGCATGGCTGAACAACTTTGAGGGCACTTTGGTCATCCGGACGCTTGGAGCAGATCGTTCCAAATGGAAAGCTATTGTGGCCGAATTGGCGAGCATCGATGTGCGCAACTTTTTACTCGACATCCCCTACTGGTATGCCAAGGACTTCCTGGTTTTGGTGAGTGTTAGCCTTTTTGTGAGCAAATCAGACGTTTAAGTGCCTGCTAAGCAGTTTGCACAGTCAGCTTGTCCGCGTCGATTGTGCTGAGCCACAATGTTCACTTGTTTACTTTATCTCTAAGGTGCTTTGAGCGCAGCAAAGCCTCCATTTCACTGCAGTAGTGCAGTCCATCTATTTGGCATCGACACATGTGTTTAGGTCTTCACTTTCGCTATTTGAAAACATTTTTGGCAACCGTCATTCGTAGCCAACATCTAGTGGTGGAAGAATTTTTTGTAATTTTTTTCGAAAATTTTGGGATTTCTTAATAAGAGGTCATGAATGCTTGGAGTCTTGCTGTCAACATGGCAGATTTTTTTCCTTGTTGAAGCATTGTTGTTTTAGGCGTATGTGCACAACATGACCGGAGAACAGTACAACTACGTCTTCACTGACTGGGCAAGTTTTCTGGTTACATTAGCTTCCTCTTTCATTTATTTTGAGGTTGAGAAATTTGCAAAAAGACCATTGATGATGATATTACGTAGACCACACCATACGAGAGCCCCTACAAGCCGAGAAAGGGAAGCTCGTTAGCACTGAAGTGCTTTACGCAGTGTAGCTTTCACGCAGTAGCTGATCGTGGCCAGTTGACAGGGTGCCTCCATGAAGAAGTGGCAACATTGTGAATGAGGGATTTACTGGATGGACAAATACACCACCATACATGATCGTTAGGAAGTTAAAGTCTCCTTCGGTACTGATCCTAGTGCGTAAGCTGAAGTAACTTCAACTAATTGCCACCGTTTATCGGAAGGACGGCTGTGGGTTGGATATTCGTCCATTTCTTGTAGCTACAATTATGAGGGATGATAATAAACCCTGTAATTGATAATAATAAGGAAACAGGAGGTTTTCAAAGATGGAGAGCTGTCATGCAGTAAAGGCAAAGAGGCTAATTTGCACAACCCTGTCGATTGTGTATTTAATCAAGTGTCATGCGGTAGGTTGCATAAATTCCTACCGGAACTGGGTTTTCATTAGCTTTTTAAATGAGTAATGGACTGTAATTTGTGCGCTCTAATAAAAAAAAGGATACTCACCTTCTGGACTTGAGTGCCTTCAAGATATGCGAGGGGGCGAGCATATCAACCTTCGCTATTACGCCCAACGTCGGTGTCCACGAGCCATACGGACGAGGACCATTTGTCGAGAATCTGCGCTCCACAATAAACAAAATCGAGCGAGCACAAAGGTACTCGGACATCCTTCCCTTCCTAACGGTAGGATATTTTCGAATGCCTTGAATGTTTTTTGAACTCTCAAATAAGTGTGCCTCGCATTGCACTGGACTTGATAGATCCTCTAAGTGAATGCGAGACGCTTGCACTGAGGAGAGCGTTGGGAACAACTCCTCTCAGAGTTTAGTTTTGCTTAGCAAATCGTTTTGTCTTGCTCTAATTATCCTGCTAGGGACTGCACAAATGTATGGCAGGAAAACTGAATCAAATAGACTTGAGTTGGCAATTTCAACTATTGTTAAGTTCGGTGCCTTGGCATTAGCATTTTTGAAAGTTTTTTTTTTTTTGCATTCCGCCTCCCTTGTGAAATTAAGGCATCAGCGTCACTCATCTACGACTCAATGCTTTTGTTCGGCCTAACACTCATGATTCATAAGGACGCCATTTCGGCACGACCGGGAGTGCTGACCTGTGACAGCGAGGATGCTGTTTGGTCGCATGGAGAGCAGTTGGTGCGGGAGGTTAAAGCCGTAAGCACAATTTTAGTCGATTTGAACACACCTTTGCGTTAAACCTTTCACAAAAACAGTAAGGATGGATGTAGAAATAAGTGCCGCCCATTGCAATGAAGTCAGTCATGTTTACGTGTTTACTGTCTTCATATTAGAAGAGAATGCGCAACTTAAGGTCCCGTTCAAACAAGGCAGAGGCAACATGTGGTGCAGGTGTTAAACACCGTGAAGACGTCTCCATAAACTTTGTACCATTGCTCCGCACTACTCTTGCAAGGTTTACAATTGGTTTGTGGTTGTTTTTTATAATCCGTAGGTTAACACACTGCTGCGTTAGTTCACTTTCCTCTCTATTCTAATTATTCACTGTGCAGCGCATAATTTCCCATAAATCTTAACGAATCGCCTGTTGGCAGCACTTTTGTCTCAGTGCTCTGGCAGCTTGGCGCTTTCGACCCTCCTCACGCTCACAGCTCTTCTAACCAGCTCACTCGGTGGGAAAAATAACGACAACGCACACGCCACCAACACCAACTACGCACTTAATTATCCTCGAAATCCTGGTTTGTCCGCGCTATGAGAACGGCCAATGTGACGGGACTCGCACACACCCTAATCCCCTCGCCACGCACTCACCCCTCTTCCCTCCGCCCCCCTCTAAACATCGCACCGTCTCCGCCCCCTTCTTTCCTCCCCCCGCCGCCTTGTCTCTAAATCCAATTTCAGCGCCTAAGTAAGCTGATCGCCTAAACAAATCTCACTACTGAATGCGAAGAGTCAATAGCTTTAAAATATAATTTCAAGTTTTATTAATTTGCCTTCACATTAAGGTAGCCTTTTGGCAGAAAAGGATATATTTTATCCAAAAAATTTAGTTTTTACTTCGCACTCTGTGTCAATCCTCTGGGTGACTACGAATTTGTCAGATTGTCATAACTGAAGTGGCTCGTGGTGGTGGTCTCGAGACGTGCAGTTTTAACACCTTTTGACAAATTAAGAACCACATATAACAGTGCAAAATCGCCTAAGACGCAATAATCGTAATTTTGCCCTTATTGCAGTTTAATTCAACAAAACTTCCTACAATAACCGGCCAGATCCTCTTTGATCGTCAGGGCTATCGGTCGAATTTCAACATGAGTATCCTTAGTCTGCAGAACTCAGGACTACGGGAGGTGAGTGCAACGAGAAAGAGGATGGTCGACTTTAGAAAATGTAACTCACGTCAAAAGAAGATCAGAGATCACAAGATGCTTTCTCCATTTCAGATTGGCTACTGGACTCAGAGAGATCGTTTGCAGATTACCCATCCAATAAAAAAGAAAAAGAAGATTCCAAAGAAGCCGCTTACAGCAGTCACCCTCAGGGTAACAACTGTTCCGGTACGCCTCCTATCCACACCGCCACTTCATATGTATCATAACGAACGCATATTTCTTCCCCACCTGATCAGTCGAAAAGTATTGAGCTGGCAAAAGAAGTTGAGTCTGCTACCGTTTTTGTTCAAACGTCGAATGGCAGCCTGTTTGTTGGAGGGATGGAGGGGAGGGGAGTTTCAGTAGCAAGACGTGACGAGGCCTGGGACTGGGCCAATTTGGCTCACATTCCACCTCGAATGATTCACCATTGTGGGGAGTTATTTTCAAACTTGAGAGTGATGTCTGCTAATCTGCACACGAATGAATAATGACAACGACAATTTTTCTCCTCACCACTGCTGACAGATGAGAGGTCTATTATCATCCCTTCCTCTCTTGTCCATGTGGTGTCACTTATTGTTGGTGATGGTCATAGATACTAACACCAAGTCACAATAATATAGTCGAGGAAGTTTTGTTTGACTATGCAAGTCCACTTTTGGGAGGCTCAACTAAGAGGCTGTCCCCTCGCCTCGTCGGTCGTTTTGTAACCCTTGAAGGGCTACACTTCTTCGTGCTTTCTACCGCACTCTCCTTGCTTTTCACTCACGTCAGCTGTGTGGGCTTAAGGAGAAGCATCAGACAGATTTTATTTTACTCTGAAATGAGTCAGACTTGTTGTTTTTGCTTGCATATGGTGTCACATCATTGCGTGACAATTAACGCTAGCCGGAATTGTTCAGAGGCAACACTTCATCGGAAACTCAATGGATAATAGCAGGAGTCAAAATCGTTGCAATCACCCAACTAGACACGCAGAGCAATCACCGAAGTCTTCATCATCTCGCGATGTCTTCTTGCTTGCGCTTAGCCTCGGATTGAAATTCGTCCACCTGCTTGAAGTTTGCGCTTTAATTTCATTACTTTGACGATCCATAGCGCTGCGTACACATTTCTGGCATTGAGCACCCTCTTTGTCCCCCTAAAGACGTCATCGGTTCCATTCGGAATAAAGCGATTCATTTGCATGAATCGAGTAGACAAAACGAAAAAGAATGGAGCTAACTGTGCTTAAGGGCACAAATTAAGTCAAATTAAATTGAATAAAATTGGATAAATGGCGAGAATGAACGCGATGGACGCTGTAATTTACTCTCTACTCGTTGCTGTTTAAATTGGCTCAGCTGTTGAAAAATGGGAAATTTTTATCGCCTCCTTTTCCCCTAGGATACACCATTTGTAATTCCAAAAAAATTTGATGCCTACGGTCAGCCTCTGAAGACTCCAGATGCGTGGGAGGGCTACTGCGTTGACCTACTCAACCTCATCTCTCAGGATGTCGGCTTCAACTACACCATCGACATCACAATGGATCACTATGGCTCGCGTCACGTCAACGAGTCGGGCGAGGTCTACTACAACGGCATTGTTGGCGTGGTGCACAGAGGCGTAAGATGCAGCAATTGTCCAGTTCTACTCTTTTTTCCTTGGACTCTGGCGTCCAAGTTGACTTTAGAAGCATTGGCGACATCCGGTTCGGAAAGTAGCCTCCATGGCGTTGATGTGTTAGTCAATCAGGGGAAAACTGAAAACATCAAAACAGTTGATGGAAAATTGGTTAATCCACTACTCCACATTTTTTTAAAACTGCTTCAAAAATTATTCCACAAGAGATTTATTCACTTATCAACAAAGGCCCGTGGTGGTGACTGATGTTTAGCATTCATGAACAGACGGGAATCAACTAAAGGAGGGCGAAAGAATTAGTACTGCATTACAGAAGCCAAGATTCAGTTGGTTTGCATTCATTACCACCTCCGACATGCAGCACAAATGAAGTTTTCATCTTGAAGAGCACTAATGCAAGTTTCCCAACTTTCCTGACAGGAAGCTGATATGGCCGTGGCAGCTCTGACGATTACGTACGAGAGGGAGCAAGTTCTGGACTTCAGCACACCCTTCATGACCCTCGGGGGCAGTCTCCTTTTCATGCGACCAAAAACTCAAAAGCCCTCAATCTTCTCCTTCCTACAGCCACTTTCACCCACCGTGAGTTGCTCAGCCGTCTCTGCATCACCTAATCTGAACAACTTCCAAAGCTGTCACAACTTACGATCCATCAGTGAAAGTCAAAGTTGAATTGTTGTTGTCGGTGTTGAAGGTCTAGCAAATTGAGGCTAACTAGCAGACTCACAGATGCTTCTTAACGGCTCTTCTTATGCAATCGAATGAGCTTCTTCATGGCCACTTGAATGCGTTGAATGATTTACAAACATTCAGCGTAATTATGCACGATTTTATTACTTCGACATCAACCGATCCACACTGTGGGTAATTTGAGCTATTTGAGTGTTTAAATGTGTTTAGTTGAAGTGGTAAGAGAATCGCAACCACCTCTTTTGAGGTCTTCTTGTCCTCCCCACTCTTCTCCAGGCTTCACTGCTCGAAAACTTAAATAAGTGGGGTTTAGATTTTAGCTAGCTATCAAAAGGGGCAATCAGCATGAATTCGAGGCACACGGGCTACAGATTCTTGACGAAACGAAGGATACAATTTTTCCCCCTTTTACATAGGGCGAGGTTAGACTGAGCTTGCAAATGGCGCAATTCCTTCGGGAGATCAATTGGCTGGGGAGCTCGAATGCTCCTAGTTTTTCTCCCCTTAATTGTTATAGACAAAATTCATGCAGATAAATAAATTTACTTCCAAGTGCACTGACTCACTCGACCTCGATGGTTTGATGGGTGTTGCGTTTATGGGTGTTTGGGCAGACCTCTGGGGGATCATATTCTGCTTGAGGAAATTGATACAGCACTGCTAAATGGGCGTGGGCGGAGGACACTTTATGCTTGTTTAGACTCGATTCGTGTGTTTTCATTTTCAACGCCATTACTAGGGTGAGTTTCCCTTTCTCTGTCCACTTTTCAAAGCTCACCGTTTGCTATGAGTTGGTGTTTGTGCACGTGCTCTTGGGTTCCGTGGATTCGTTAAGCGCGGCTAAGGCGTCACGAAGTCATCTTCGTTGTCTCCCGTACGGAGATGTCAGCAGAGACGGATTCTGCAGCCACGGTGCGTAGAGCCCTCAGATTGGATCTACGCACCGTTTTTCCCTTGATGCACACTTCACAGGCGGTGGCAGTGGGAACTACGTCAAACCAGTGCTTCCTCTGCACCTCTTTGACGTAGTTGTTGATCGACATTGCCTAGTTTTGATGCCTTTTCCGGCTTTAATGTTGATTATAATTTTTTCACTATTGAGTTTTCTTTTTCCACCATCCACTGGTCGTATTCCAGTCAATGCTTGAGAGGAAAGACACTATTCTTTGTTTTCAGTTTCATTAAGGCCTTGCACTTTGGTAGTTTTTGTCTGACGACATTTGAAGATGTTAGAAGCAAGGCTAGAAATCGTTGTTAAGCAACGGCAGCTGTTTCTTTTTTTCGTGACTTCAAAAGTACTTACTCGAATGGCTTAAGTCACGGCATCTCACTTGTAGTGGTTTGATGACCGTAGGAGTGACCATTATTAAGGAAGGCGTCCACCAAACGGGGTGGCAGTGGTCAAGTGGAGGTGTAGTCGTGATCAGAGACTCCTTGACTGAGCTTGGCTATTGATGGGAGTTTGTGATGGCTCTAAAGGGTGGAAGTATTTGGTTTTGTGTGACAGTAGTTTCTATGCGAATCGTGCCAGAATGTTTTCATTGTGAAATTGAAAAACTTGGGCATAGAAGTTGTGGTCTGAGAGAAAAGTCACTCCTACGAACGCTTGACAGTCCTCAAGCCAGAGGGGTCAAGCAGTGACACATCTCACGGAATCAAGTCCGACACCATCTTCCGTACTAAGGTTAAATTTTACCATACTGTTAGCATTGTTGTCTGTGGGGTCGAAATCGTATCTGATGTTCAAAATTCCATTGTCCAAGCAATGCTTCTAGCATTGACGGATTCTAAGCCTGATTTCCGAATTCTCAACTCTTACAAAGTGGTATCCAATGCCCTCCTCAAGTTCCCCGCCCGGAGACAAGGTCTCCCGCGTGCGCCTCTCTGTCCGCCATGCGTGATTTGACTTCGTTCGCAGCCAACCGGTGCTGTGCTTTGCAAGGGTCACTGTATTACCCTAGACTTACTAAAACCCAACTTTCAAGCTTTGTTACGAACTTCAAAGCTTAGTTAATGCAGTGCTCATTTTTAAGTTTTGTGGCTATTGGAGTATCTGGTTTCCAAAATTGTTGTTGCCTACCTCATGATCACTGCATGCAGAAATCTCGTTCAACGCATACGACAACACCTTAAGACCTTCTTAACTGACTCTATGGGAAATGGAATTAGAAGGAACTGTGAGTAGCAGTTCAATGCCTTATGCTTGATTTTAGCAAATTTTTCATCCTCATAATTCTCCTCTTCAGGTGTGGGCTTACGTGATAACGACCTACATAGTTGTCTCCGTTGGGCTCTTTCTGGTTGCACGTCTCAGTCCTTACGAGTGGCAAAATCCACATCCCTGCGAGGCCTTCTCGGAGGAAAAAGAAAATCAATTTACGGTTCTTAGCAGTTTCTGGTTCTTCATTACACCTCTCCTCAATCAAGGTGCCTCTTAACCTCTTGCATTTACTAGATGGCAGAGTCAGTGCATTTCCTCCAAACTCAAATTCACCCACCTCTATGTCTAAAGAGGAGTTTAAAGTCGACAACATTTCCACCTCTGTCAGGCTCTAGGCTTTCTTGGGTAGTTAGCAAACCGTAATAAAGCAAATTTAAACTTTCCATTGACGGTGGTCGGTTGCCTGTCGCGTAAAAATTGAAAAAACTAGGTGAACCCTCCCGTCTTCTGTACACAGAGAACTTCTTTGCTTACCATTCAGCTTAGGGCTTGCCTGAACCGTGTCTTTGCCGTTTTTAATCATTGTTGTCGCCTTCACACTTCTTTACTTCTCAATCTTCCTCAATAGTCAATGTTTTATGACTGATTCGCCTTTTAATTTAAATGTTTTTGCATAGAACTAATTGATGCATTGCTGTTAGGTACGGAGATGGCTCCGCACTCCATATCCACACGACTACTGACGGGCATCTGGTGGTTCTTTGCCCTGATCCTAATCTCCACCTACACAGCTAACTTGGCGGCCTTTTTGACTGTCGACACAACCGAACTGCCTATTGAGAGCGCGGAAGACCTCGTGGCTCAGACCAAGATTAAGTACGGTACGCTGCAATCTGGATCCAGTCACGACTTCTTTAAGGTGCGCCAAAGCTGCTCGTCGTCTTTTTGTGCTGCTCCTAATGTCACTGTCGACACTGTCGTTGCCACTGTCGTTGAGGCAAACAGTGGTCAAGTGATGCACGTTCTTGTTTGGATTTAAATGTCTATGGAATGGGCATGTTGCAAATTGCAGGAAATGGATGAAGCAAATAATCCCTTCACTACGAAAGCTTTGTCCAAAAATTTGATCCCTATTCTAAAGGGTGAACTGAGTCCCAAAATAATCCTCTAGATGGGCAAAGATAATTGCAGAATGTACTAAGTATTTTGTGTTTCAAAGCATACATTCCTCATTTTCAGTACTCCAGGATCCCAGTCTTTCAAAGGATGTGGGAGTTCATGTCGAAAAACGATGTTTTTGTGCAGAACACCGAGGAGGGCATTGAGCGTGTTCTTAAGGGCGACTACGTCTTCGTCCTCGAGTCATCGTGGAATGAGTTTTACAACAAACGCGATTGCCGCCTCATGCAAATCGGTCGCCTACTAGACTCCAAAGGTTATGGCATTGGGCTGCAACAAGGTGCGGTTTTTACTTTACCTGACAGTTTTGTTCTCAACTGTTCTAGAGTCGGTTAGGGAGTTATTTTGCCGGTACTCATATTTGAAAGACGAGCCGTTCCTGACAACGGTTAGCTTGATTCGAACAGCACATTTGGCAAGATCGACGAACAACACGATGATGTGTTCACTTCCACTCGTGAAGTCTGTTTACGCGCATTCATAATTTTACTCTTTGATTTAGCAATAAATGGTTTAGAAGTGGGCAGCAGCTGTGAGCTCTATCCTACCGGACGCCCTTCTCTTCAGTCCACACAGTGCTTCTGGAAACTGTGGAAAGTTTTAGTACAATTGGATAGACTGTTTTGACTAGCAAAAACAGTTTTGAATAAGCTCTTGTTATTTTACTGAATCCTCCCTCTAGTCAACTGTTTGTGATGTCGGCAGTTAAAGCAATTTCGTAGGCGGAGGGCCATGATGGCTGATACCCGATCAGCAGATTCATCACATGAATGGAAGTAAGTAGGTAAGATAAAGCGATGTTTCCGCGAGTTCCTAGCCAAAAAAACCCTTGTGGCGAGAGCGTACTTTAAAAGTTGCAATTGGGTTGAAAACAGAGCTAAGACATGTGGGTAAACAATCTCGAAAACATTTATTGGCTTTTCTAGGTTCAGTTGTAAAAATTGAGAGCTCTCCACATTTGATGCACGCTCAGTAGAATTGCGCTAGCTTAAATTTGCTTCAGCAGTATTAGTAATACCTCATTCATGGTCCATTTTTTCATCTTTAAAGGTTCACCATATCGCGATCCGATATCTGAGTCGATTTTGAAGCTGCAGAAGGCTCAGACATTGGACCAATTGAAACGAAAATGGTGGACTGAGTTCAACATCTCTGAGCCCTGTACCAATAACAAGGAGGGTAGCAAAGAGGCCAAACCCCTCGGCATCGAACAGGTTGGAGGCGTTTTTGTCCTCCTCATCATTGGCTTCTTCTGGGCTTTCATTGTCTCCGTTATCGAATTCTGCGTGCACAATAAAGCATGTATGAAATCACAGGTAATAAGGGTCTGGAAACACCTTGGGCCCCAACTGTAGTCGAAGGAAGGTAGAGTCACCTCTATTTACCCATTTTAGGGAGCACTTTTCTCCGAAATGTGGAAGGAGTTAAAATTTGCAATGCGTTGCATGACACCTTCAACTCGAACCAAGTCCTCTACCCCTGTGATTCACGAGCCAACGCCTGCTTCAATAGCAGTGGCTCCCGAGAAAATGGAGCAGGAGACCGTAGAGCCGGTATCTGTCCAGTCACAAGACATGCTAACTGTGCCGATAGCTGAGTCTAATGAGGCTCTGCTATGCTCTAATGCTGGCGATACTTCATCAAGTGGCGCAAGCAGTGTGAGAGATACCTATCCGTCACCACCACTACCTCCTCCGAACCCCTCCAGTTCTCCTTGGTCTCATTTGAATAATTTTCAGAAAAAATCGCCATCCATGGGTGAGGACTGGTGGACAATCAGTCAGAGCGCAGTGTGAAAAGGGTTCCCTGCGAAGGATGAACTATCCGGCCTTATTATGCATTAATATCTTTACAGTAACCCTCCACATCTTCAGCAGCCACTAATGTGTCACATCCATAACTTGAAATTTATTTTTAAAACAGCTGCATTTGGTATGGTAGAGGTGAAAATAAACCTAGACGCTTCCTGGAAGAGAGTTCCATGTAACATTCATCATTTCGCAAACTTGGTGAGTGTTATGTAGCACCGCCCAGGTTAATCGGAAGGGAGGGCGTTTCGGTAGGCCGGTTGATAGGCGCAGGTGAGTATCACTGCCCATGACGCGTTGGCGATGCCTGAGTGGAATTGTAATGTAAGGGTTATTTAGTTACCTAGCCGTGAAAGCAGTCTCAACCTATGCTAAACAACGGTGATGAACATGCCAAATTATTACCGATTCCTTCCTTTCTTAGCGATTCTCTCATAAAGCTGCTCTTGAAAACCGTGCTCAAGTGTGCGGAAATGCGAACTGAAAACCTATCATGATTGTTCGGCAGACCTTTTAAGTAGCAAAATTTATAAATGGGAAATTGTTGTTTCGAGGGACAGTAAAATGAAGATTTATCCTCTACATCACATTGACTTGCCTTAGACATTTGTAAGCGAAGCAGTTGCACGGTGTAACTACGTTGAGCAATATCAGGATCTCCCATTACTACTTGAACATTTTAATATGTTACAGCTTAGCCTCACTTGAATCAATGCACACACCAACAGGCTTTCTGACAGCTCCCAGACAATATACCAATATTGCATTTTGTTTTTACTAATGAAGGCCACAACTTTACAAGCAGCAAAATTTCAAAGGTGAACTCGCCTTAGTTACAAGTACTCGCGCAGAGTAAAAGTGCGTTTTAGTCAAGGGACCTGGCTTTCAACTTAAACTGCCTTAAGCGTTTTAAAAAAGTTTATATTGCACATCCGTTTTAATGTTGGATACTAAAGTTGTTGCAAATTAACAAATCATCTGTGTTAATAAAAATTTATTTGAAGATTTCAACTCTTATGCCTATTTATTAGCATAAATAAGGATTTTGAGTTTTGATGCGTCCAATTACATTCTACTTAATTTATTTTTCAAAGAGCCTTAATGATTGTGTTTGCTTTAATTTTAAAAATTCATTCGCCCATTTTAGACTCCTATCAGCATTTACCAAAGGTTTGGTAAATTAATTGCCTACATCACTTATATGGTATGGCATTAGCCCCCTAGGCTGATACATTAGTTATACTTCATTCCCAAGCAAAAAATATTTCAAGAAAATTTTACGAAGAATCCTAATTAATCAAGATCGATAATGCACTTGACCTCAAAGAATGCGACTAATGGTTCTGGTGGAGCAGCGCATGGACCTACAAACCAGCAGTCACATAGCAGGAATTTGAATTTAATTCAGTTAATCATATCCAATCTTGAACCTTCTGTGTCTCTATCAGAATGGCGCCGCATACTGATTGTTCATGTGCAAGCTGTCATTCAAAATGCATTTCAGCTCCAAGTTATGCGTCAGCCAGAATCTGGGTGTTTTGCTATTGTAAAGGTGTCAACGATGGAAGATGCTCAAACGGCGATTTCTCAGCTGAACCGTCGTAAAATCGGCTATCGTCGTATACGAGTTAGTTTTTTGACTCCAAATGGGCAAAATGAAAAACTTAATCAAAAGTCCTTCACATTGAATCAGTCAACACAACAGCGCTTGCAGCATAGTTCGAGGATGCATTTGTTGAAACCTCAATCAGAATCGTCACAACACAGTAGGAAAATTGATGCTAAGACGATAATTGTGCCTTCGAAATTTCAGACGGTGGTATGCCTTTATGTGTTTGGCAATTTTCAAAATGCTAGTTGATGCAATGATTAGCATCCCATATTAATGAAAGAAGAATACATCAAGTCCCTCAACCAAATAACTCAATTCTGTAATTTACTTGGATCATATAAGTACCAAGTTCTTTATATAAATTTGAGCGGACTGCGAACCAAATGTTGCTCGATCTTTAGCCAACAACAACTATTTTAGTTGATCCCAAAGTCATTAACGCCAATACTTGCTATGTTCTTCTTCTTATTTCGAATATTTAAGCACAATTTTTATTTATTTATTTATTTTCGAATTGTGATGTTAAATCCATGTAATGCAAAATGTCTACATGGGCTAAATCCCGTTGAGTGTGCTTCAGTGATAAGGCCAAACCAACTTTGTTTTGCATTAAAAAGATATTTTGGTAAATTCATTGGGCGGACCTCTTCTAAGAGGAATAAAATTTGCGTATATGCAAGGTTGAGCGCTCTACGTTAATCCTTTTAGGTGCTGTTATTTTTAAAATCGTAAAGATAAAGCATTACTTTCTGCATTGTATACCATTCGTGCTTAGAATTTGCCTAAGCTGGACGATCCGCTGTGTCAAAAGCACCAGCCAAAAGATCCCCGCGCGTGTATCCATATGGTCAGTCAGCAATTTATGCCAGCGGTTAGAATAAGTTTGGCCGAACTCCGTTCAAACGTTGTACGACTGCTGCAGGAGCATAACAACCTCCTCTCTGTCGTCAGTTTTACGCGCTGTTACGAGGAGACATTTGGTCCCCTAAACAAGGCCGAACCGGCCAGTGAAAAAGAACACGACGGTGACAATGAGAAATCAAACAAAGACTCTATGTTTATGAGTAACTATGTTCCCTTGGAACATTTAATTACGTGCGTATCTAATGTGAGCATCCAACTCACCGTCAATGGCATAAAAGTTGTCACTTTATCTCAGGACAGTTCACAAGGTAATTAAGCCATTTTTTAATTTTTTAGTTATTTTACAATTTTTTTCGGGGGATAAGTTTTGTCGATTCTCGGAATTTTCCTAAAAAAGTAATTTGATAATGTTGAATAGACGATTTCTGCCATTTATTGCCGGAGACATAAGTATATGCGTTTATTTACTTAACAATGACAATTTTTTTAAAATAGCCTTTAAATAAGCGAAAATGATTACCGAATGGGGCTCCAGGTCATTTTTTATGTTGAATTTTGATGAATCAAAGCAGTCAGAAAACGGAACCTCCAAAGTCGTGTTAGAGCGAACTTTAAGTGACTGTGTATGTGATGCTCAGAATACCATAAATGTCCCACGCCATATTCGTCGCGAAACTAAAGGCGGCTAATCATGAACGATGGCATTACTATAAACTGATTTGCTTTACAATCTTGTGGATTGTAACATTAATTTTAATCATTTGTTCACTTATTATTCCTATCAAACATATTAACTTATAAAACACTTACCTGTGTTCACCTTTCTTTTTCCGAAACGCTGGCCTGCATTGTAGATGCAACAATTGTACCAACTACCGCCGATGCGCCCACTCAGGGTCTTGCTACCGCTGAAAATCTGCGCCAATTCCGCCGCGAGGTGGTGGATCTGGTGAAGCAACAAGTTGGGTGCGCACTACCACTAAACAAGTTCATTCCCGCCTATCATGCGCATTTCGGTAAGCAGTGCCGCGTCTCCGACTATGGGTTTGCTCGTCTTCAGGACCTCATTGAGGCACTGAATGGTATTGTCCACATTGTGGGCGATGGGCCGCTCCGCACCATCATGCTGACCCATGTGATTCAGGTGCGTCGATTCACTCATGACATCCTGCGACTGCTCAAGGGCGAACAGAAGAAGTACATTCCAATCTCAAAGCTGCCTCACATTTATGGGGAAGTTTTCCATAAGGTGCCTCAAATTCGATTATACGCTTACCTTGACGTGCCAAGCCCTGGGTCACGCATCTTGAGCCAAAGTTAAATTAGGTAGTACTTATTGAATTATTAGATTGTAGCGCTTGATTTGCTTCAGATGAGCCTTGAAGACACACAAAAAGGAGAACTAGTAAACTCAATATAAACGGAAGTTGTGCAGATCTGTAGCTACTCAAGGGTAGACTTTACAAAGCCAAGACACGCCTAAAATGGTGGTAGAGAAATCATTTATCTGAGCTACGGTAAGCTATGCCATATGAGCTGTTCTTAAAGCTACATGCATAAAAAGATGTTAAAGGCTTCGTGTATAAAGTTAGCATTCAACTTTCGGAACCCCTTTGTCTGTTAACAATACTTCTCCTGGTATTGTTTACTTAGCCATTCCTGCCTTCAAACTATGGGGTATGTAGCCTACTCGATCTCCTAAATGACGTCGCTGAGAGCAAGTTGGTGGTGGAGAACGTGGAAGAGGAGGGTCCCTGTGTTGTCATCCCGCGACGCGTTCAAACCGCAGAGCAGAAGGTTCGCACCCAACTCTTTGGCGTCGAGGTAGTGGACATGCTGTCCACTATGCAACGTTTCCAGATCGCATTTACAAAATTCATTCCTGCCTACCACCACGCTTTTAACCACCAGTGTCGTGTGGCAGAATATGGCTTCGCGAAATTCATCGAACTGCTTGAGGCATTGCCACATGTTGTTGAGGTGATGCATCTGCCATCTTCTATTGCTTTTAAAGCCTATGTGCTTTATGCTTAGAATGCCCCAGTAGCTCAGATTGCGTTCCTTGCTTATTACGTTGCGATGGATATTCTAAGTCGTATTTTTTTTTCAACCTCCCCTTACAGTAAGTTACATTCTGCGTTTTTCATAACTAAAGGTCCAAGAGGAGAACGGAGAAAGATGCGTTTCTTTAACTCCTCCCATTCGGCTTGCTATTATCAGACAAATGCTCCTAGAAATCCTTGAAACCCAGATTCATCGTCGACTACCAATAAGTGATATATTATCGTCATTCGTAACACAATACCAGTTGATCCTTCTTCCGGAAGACTATGGCTTTGACACACTGGAGGAAATGTTTGCATCATTCTCTGAGGTCTTTCTCACTCAACAGCAGCCGCAACGACATTTGGGTGCATCTACACCTGAATCCACGAAGTCCACATCCCATAACCCTATTCTCACCATGGTTGATGACTATCCTAAGAAAGAGACAACCAAGTTCAACGATGAGAGAGCACCCAGTACCACCATCTACGTCTGTCTTGTAGACAAATATAAAATCAAGCAAGCTACCTATCGGTGTCTACAGATTCTCTTCAATTCACCATTTGGATCGATTCCCGAGGACGAATTTAAAGAACACTACCGGGTTACATTTCAAGAGGAGATAGATCTTGACTACGTCCACGAAGAAATGAGCCCTTTCATCTCGGTATGACTTTTCTAATGAACTGCTGCTATCTTTAGGTATTCTCCCCCTAATTTGGATCCACTCATTAGGTTAAAAACTATAGCGTCCAAATGCAAAATCCAGTCGGTGCTGGAACAAAACCTACAGCGGCAGATCTGGATGAAACGGAAGCGACAGTGATAGGCTCTCGAATGGTGCAACTTTGTCCACTCATCCTATTCGCACGGCAGTTGCGTTTCCTTCTAGTGCGCACTCGAGGTCGTCTTATGCTTAACCTCTTAGAACAAATGTATCAACGCCACTTCGGGATTGCGTTGTGTCCAGAAGCCTACGGATATCCTTCAATTCTCACTCTTATCCATGCTATCGACTTTGTTGTTGCGGTGAGGGGCAGAGGTGCGCGGGCCATCCTCTTCCTTGCACAGGACTACTTGGGTGCGCGACTAATCGCATTCTTCTTACTAGCCTACTTTCAAAATTACTTTTCGTGCCGTTTTTTTGATCGGCCACCGTATTTATGCTATACTTTACTGGAACCATTTGCGCTAGAGAGTACAGAACTAACCATACTAACGCAAACCCAAATCTGCTCATCATCGTCTACTTAATTTCCAGGCAAGCTTGCGTGGAAAATCGCATACAAAATACCGTTTCGGCATGATTTAATCAATCGCTACAACACGGATGAAGTGACATCTAAAGAGTCCCCTCATTCAGGGGTACTAGAAGAATATCATTCACCGACAAATGAGATGTACCGACCTACTCAGCGTCAGACCGCCACAGTTCCATGGCACTATCCCAGTTGCATGACACAGGAAGGCCAATTCATGCAAACCACTATGGGACCAACAAAATTCCTACCTATCAATGCCTTTCCAGTTGATGCACAACAGCCGATAGAGTGCCCTCTAACCGTATCAGGCTTCTTCTTACCAAGTCCCATCACACAAGGCTATGCCCTTTCCCAGGTACAAAGCATACCAGAGTGGACCATTTACGACTACCAAGGACAAATTCAGGAACTTCCTTATGTTCCAAACAATTCCTTACTTGCCTACCCAGGTGTACCACCAACTACTGAATTGCCCAAGTTGACACCAACTTACGTATCATTCAACATAGCCAACGGAGAGACACCATTACAAGCTATTCCATTGTCCGTAGGACCAGTGTGGGGGCAAACGACGGAACAGCAGTCGACGCCAGCACCGTTCTATGCATTTCCAATGAAACCATCCTTTACACCATTACTACAGGGAGTGCTGGGTTATGGCTACACTGCAACAAATATAGTGAATCCTGCACCTCCAATGCCAAATGAGACAGAAGGGAGCCCTTTAGCAGCAAATCAAAGCAGTGTTCCTACCATGCCTACCAGTGTCTCCCAAGAGGAATATATACCAGAGACTACAGTGAACGAACAGCAGGATCCGAGAGAAGCGCTAACCCCGGAGAATGACGGGACGCACCCAAACTTAAATGACACCAGCGCAAACTACCACACAATTTCCCTACCAAGCTTAACAGGCTGGTTACCTCAGACGGCTCAACAAGTATGGACACCAAGTCTGATCTACCAAAACTCGCAAGCCCCATTAGGTAATCACGCAGTCGATGGACAAGTAGTGACGCCTCAAGGCGGGGCCTGGATAACAGACTGTAACCAATGGCTAAGCTCCTGCAGAATAGCTACACAATGGCCGGTACTGCAAGCAACCCCAATAGACGTTCAACTCCCGAGCCAAGTGACGATCCCTACTGTTGATCCTCAGTCCGTAAATGACGGGACAGTAGTGCTCAACGGACATCTGAGCGTGGATAACTCAGTTATACTTAAGCCGGTTCAATGTCAGTCGGATATTGGACCAGATGTCAATCAATCTGTAAATAAATGTGAGGAAGGAGACTGGACACTACCAATAAGCATGACTACTGAATCTATCGATATGAACTCAAAAGAGAACGACGAAACTGGCAGCATAGAATAGAGGTAGCGCATCGGAGCCAAGACGCCACTAAGATGGAATGCGTCCATGAGAAGTAGCGATCTGACCCACACGCAACTATCACGTAAAGGCGGTATGCCTCAATTGGCTCTTCGAGCTCGTTAACTTTTTGGTTCCCCCTTTCATTTGATGAACATACCAGCGATAAGTGCAATGCACGACAATGAAAACTTTTCTTTGCAACCTTATTTTCTAGGATTGTGGATTGCAGTTATGTACTCGATGTGTAAAAAACTTGCGTTTTACAATACACATATTCCTACGAGTAGTCCTTTCTCTTTCGAAAAAGGTTAGAACCTGATGTTATTTTTGACGCGTAAGTGTGAAATACTTAATGATGAGGCATAAGCGTTAATTTGCAAACGTAACACTCAATGTAAATTTTCACTAATCTATTAAAGGCTGAGGAGATAAAAATAATACTTACTCCCCACCAGCATTAATGTGCCTCGATGTCCTTAATTAAAAGCGGAAATATTAACCTCTAGAGAGTAAAGCCTTTTTGCACCGGAAGGAGAATATAGATTCAAAAAACATACTCGATAGCGATTCTAAGACGAAAACTAAAATACATACCATCTCAAGTAATAATGCACTAAATAGACTACAGCCACATATGCCCGCATTTACCAAAAGAAACGACCGATTTCAGGCGACTAGAGGGCACTATGTAATCGCCTTTTCCCCAAATGAAGGGATAATAAGATCATCTCAACAACCAATGCCGTTTGAGCTGCTGTGAGCCTAAACACATTTAAATCATCAATAGATTAATAAAGATACACTAGACAAACAAATAAGAAGGTAATGCGTTGAGTACTGAAATAGCTTCACTCAATTGCAAATAATCTGCACGAGAAAGAAATCAACACAATAGACATCAACTGAAAAAGGGAACCAGAATAAAGCATTAAGATTTCTATTCAAATTGAAAACAACACCTCTCGGAAATAAACTCGGGAATTATGGAAACAAAATTCCATTACCTAGGTCAAAACAAGCGCAGTATACAATAAACGACTGCCAATAGTTCGTCGACAGAACACATTAATAAAGACGAATACATCTGGGAGTAGGCAACAACCAACTTCGAAGACTTCAAAGCAGCACATACGACCGCTGAAGCCGTAAGTATTCGTAGACAAACGTGTGGATGAATATTTTTCCGAAAGATCAAATGAATCTCGGTTCTAAGTTTTGACAGATTGGCCGATATAACATACAGGACATCCACGACATCTTCTAAACTAACTTTAATCGCTGAACGATCAGTCAAACAAGTGAAAAATTTCACAGACGTAAGAAAATCATAACAATACAGGTCATCCTGTAAAGACCCCAAAACAAAAGCTTCAGAATTAATAATATGCGCAATATCCGTTTCCACCGACAATTTTTTTAGAATTTTCTGCAAAGCAGACGCCTTGAGAATCTTCGTCCTGTCAACAGTCTTGGTCGTCAATTGGATAACAGAATATAAGTGGAGAATAATGTCTTTCTTTTTTCGTAAAAGCGTTCGCTTAACCTGGGCTGCATCAATACTTCGATAGGATCTAAAAATCGATTGAAGCTCAAAGCATAGAAAACGGTCGTATAAAACGAATGCCATAAACGGAACAGAATCGGGAGTCTTGAGTTTACTGCAAAAGCTGAAAATGTAGTTACAGACATTGTAAGTGCAAAATTTGCCAATATTCTCGGCATAGAATTCACAATTGCAACCAGTTGAACGTTTCGTGCAATTTAGCCAACCCCAAAACGACTCATTATCCATACGGGCATAGTTCTTCCCACTACACCAAGGACGAGAATGAATATAAAAATTATAGAGGACGCATTAGCTTTAAACGCATTAAAACAAGCATGACGCAAAAAACTCGCAAAAATACATGATTTCGCAAAAAAAATTATGCGTGCATTTTAAAAGACGTAAAAATACATTCCACCTTATGCGAATTGATGTGCTTTATTGAGATTTACAGAAGCGAAACTTACAAATTAGCATTGCCGCTATGTAAACGTCTGGGGTATGCATTACATAACCGCATATAAATATGCACGCAAAATAAGACCTTGCAGCTCACACCAAGTCCTTGAAACCTCTGAAGCTAATGCTATGGGTATAGAAAATTTTGATTAGACCTCCATCCAAGAACCGAAATGGGTATGCTTGTGCATAAGTTTGTGATTAGTAGTTAAGCCACCAAAAATGCTCGCCTCCTTCAAGCACAGGATTCGTGTTCGACGCGAAGAACAGCTTTATAAGAGCAGCTTAAACACATGCCTGTATATGTATGTATTCGTGTGTGCGTGTGTGTTGGGGTTGGTATGAACTCCTGCATGGATTCATTAAAATTATTCGGTTTGGCCTATTTGCTACAAGTACAGTAAGACCTAAAATTCCATTCTTTAACGAGTTCAAGCGAAATGGGCGTTATCAAAAAAGAAGTCGTGTTTTACCAATTTTATAACCAGCTAATGAATCTGAATGGCATCAAAAAGTCAGAGTATGGGATTCAATCGTCAAATTGAAAAAAAACCAGATTTCTAAAAAGAGAAAGGGGATACTACAGGCATACAGAGGCGTATTTTGTAACATAGCTGGTGAGAAAAGGGTAATGTAGTTCTTCATCTAGTTTGTTCTCATTGAGCATTTATGAGAGGGATTGATAAAAAAGCAACATGTGCGTGGATAGAGTTCATCCATTCGACTGTTGCCTTGGCACATACACTTGACCTTCTTCTTGC